GCCAATATAACCCCTGCTACTCCAATATACACCCCTGCTACTCCAATATACACCCCTGCTACTCCAATATATACCCCTGCTACTCCAATATACACCCCTGCTACTCCAATATACACCCCTGCTACTCCAATAAAAGAATGGTTGAGTGCTACAGAAAAAGAAAAACAAGGAAAATATAATAAACTGAGTGAAAACACTCACTGATACGGAATGAACACTACCCTGGCTTAGGATCCATTTAATTTGATGCGGATCCGGATCCTAGATCCGCACTGGTAAAAAATTGATCCGGATCCGGTTCCAGGTCATTTCTTAAAGATTTACTGATTTTTTTAACGAAAAATAATTTTCAAATTTTTTTTTTTCGCATATTTTTATCTTAAAACTCGATGAACCATTCAGAAATGAGGAAATTTTTATAATCTCTCTTTTTTTTTACAAAAGTTCAGATTTTGGTTTTAGGAGTAAAAATGTTTTTTTTTCTTCAGTTTTTGGTTGATATTTTACCCATTGGATCCGTATCCTAAGCAATGCTGGAATCCATCCCCCCAACCTCCCATATCAGTATATTAGCAGGGTTTAGACTTTCCGTATCATTTTTTTACACAAAATTTCAATAATGTAATGGTATTAGAATATTATTTTAATATCCCTCCCTTTCTTCAAAAGTTCTTTTTTTCAGTATATATAAAGACAATTTGTAAGAGTTTTTCGTTAAGTTGTTGAAAATTAATGATTGAAAGTAAATTGTTTTGGTCAAAAAGTAACAAGAATATGTGCCAGTTAATGTTTAATTATTTACCCCCTCCCCCCATTTTTTGAAATAAATATGAGTCAGTTTTTAGCTAGCGCATGGACAAAAACATATTTGTTAATTTATTTTGTATTCCAACCTAAATTAAATTCAGTTCCACTCGGAAAATTCACAAAAAAATTTAATATTAATTTCATATGATTGTTGAAATTTTTGACATTTCTAATTTGGTTCTGTAAAATACTTTAAAATATGATTAAGTGGTCTACAAAGATTCGAATGAGAAACTTTCCTATGATGCAAGATTTAATGAATTATGGAAACCTTTTATTTCTTATTACAACAGTTTATAGGCGTTTATTAGATTTAAATTAAATATGATCTTGTTCTAAGTATTAAAAATATATCCTGACCTCTAATCGATCGTTATTAGATTTTTTTTAATTTAAGTTTAAAATTGGTAAAAATGATAAGGTCTTAAAAAGTTTTGGTATCTGTCACACTCCCATATATCTTAACTAAAAGGGTTGCATTATTGTCGATTTAACATCAGGAATATCAGTTTTTATGACGAAAGTTTTTTTTAATCCTTTTTATGAAACTATTGAGTACTTTATTATTCTTCCTCACTTCATTTCATAATGAACGTGCTATAAAGTAATCATCGTGCTATAATGTAAAATTAGCTGTACATTATAGCACCGTGCTATACAGTTTTAATTGGTTACCGGATTTTATCCAACAAATTTAGGATATTTCCTAAATATTTTTTTAATTGAAATGAAAATGAAATTGAAATCAACTTTATATTTTGACTTCAGTGTCCGAATTTAATGAATTTAAGCCGCGTCTCAAATCCCCCAAAAACCGGTTTCTATTGAGCGCCGGCTTAACTATTGAAAAACTTAATACAAATTTAAGTGGAACCAACCATATTTGATCCCCGGCTTAAATTTAAGCTGCCGCTCAAATTCTTTAAATTCGGCCTTTGGTTTGTTTCAAAACTTATTTAATCTGGAAATAGCTATTGAAATAAGACAAGTACACAAACGTTTCTTAAAATTACCTATAACACTATTATTTTGACACGACGTGTTATAAAGTTTATGGACTTAAATTTTCTCTTTATCTTGAAGGTTCTCGCCTTTTTAGATCATATTTTGTCCCTTGCTCAAGCTCGGGACAAATTTAAATCTGAAAAGGTTGAGGAAACTGCTGTCCTAAAACTTTATAACACTGCGAACCAAAATAACAGTGTTATAAATAGTTAATTATGTTGTTAAGGTTGAAGAAATACGAGATAGCATTGATAAAATACAGAGCAGTGTGGAGGATGTTAAGCGGAAGCACAGTTCAATTCTATCAGCTCCTCAAACTGACGAAAGTAAGTTTATTTCAAAATAAGTTTTTGCTCTGATTTTCTAAACCTTTCATTTTGGCAGTCTGATCAGTCTGATGGTGTAAACCTTTCATATTTTAAACTGAAATTATTTAATCCAACATAATAGGTTTACGACAATAGGAGTAGGTTGCAAAGATTTATGGAGTAAAAAGTCAGTGTTAGTTTCTTAAGGTTAAAAGGACACAGTTGTGTGTCGTTTTTTTTGCGTCATGTGTGACGTTTTTTTGCGTCATGTGTGACGTTTTTTAGCGTCATATAATTAAAGGGTCATTAAATAGTATGGTCGTCCTTGTTAGTCTTGATGATTCTCTATTCATTCTTTTCTTATATGCTTTATTCATTCTCATCTTATATTCTTTATTCATTTCATTCGTTTTTTTCATTTTATTCTATATTCATTATATTCTTTATTCAATATATTCTTTATTAATTTTATTCTTATATTCTTTATTCATTTAATTATTTATTCATTTTATTCTTTATTCATTTTATTCTATCTTCATTCTATTCTTTATTCATTTTATTCTATATTCATTATATTCTTCATTCATTTAATTCTATATTCATTACATTCGTTATTCATTTTATTCTTTATTCACTTTATTCTTTATTAATTATATACTATATTCATTATATTCTATATTCATTATATTCTATATTCATTATATTCTATATTCATTATATTCTATATTCATTATATTCTATATTCATTATATTCTATATTCATTATATTCTATATTCATTATATTCTATATTCATTATATTCTATATTCATTATATTCTATATTCATTATATTCTATATTCATTATATTCTATATTCATTATATTCTATATTCATTATATTCTATATTCATTATATTCTATATTCANCACTAGATACACATGAGAATAGTTCTGAAATGTATCAAATGTATCAAAATATATTAAAATCTTTAAAAATACTTTTTTCAAAAATATGGAAAATACTTTTTGAAATTATGAAAATAAATGAAAACGTATAAAAATTTATAAAAATGTATCAAAATGTATCAAAATGTATCAAAACAATATAAAAAAAAAACAATAAAGATATATACCAAAAAATTTACAAAAAATATCTATCAATATATATATGATTTATTAATCTATAATTATATATTATAATTTATAAATATATATTATATTAATAATACAAAATTCTATTTTCTAGATAAACAAGGCCAGTGCTGAATTAAGGATAAAGAAAACGCAGCACAGTACACTTAGCAGGAAGTTTGTCGAGGTAACAAATTTATTCATCAATCAATCAATCGATCAATCAATAAACTAAACAATCAATTAATGATATAAATGTATCATTAATTGTAGCAGGAAAAAACAATAAAATGTATCCGTTTGATGTTTTTCTTAATTAATTTAAAAATGTATGTACACGATAGTATCGTAAAATAGCTTTATTTAATACATGTGAACAATTTTCTACAATTAATATAATGTCGACACGGAGATAATAAATATCTAGATCTCAAAAAATTGATCGATTGATCAATTGATCAATCATCTAATCAATAAACTAATTATTCTATTTATCATTTATTTGTCAAGATAATTGATGATCTAAAATGTGATCATGTTAATTAATTTATTAATCTATCAATAATGTTAACGGATCAATTAATCATTCGATCAACCTATCAATTCATTTACTAATCATTCAATATCTTAATCAATTAATCAACTGATCAATAAAAAACCATTCAATTGTCGAGGTAATTGATCAAAAATTCGATCAATCAACTGATTACAAATTTTTTTATTCACTCAATCTTAAAATAATTTTTGATGTTTTAAAAGGAAAAATTAAAAAATACTAAATTAATTTTAAGTTAATTAATTAATTAAACGATCAAGAAATCAATCAATACAAAAATTAAATGGTCTAAAATATATTTAATCCAGTGCTTAGGATCCACAACATCCGGATCCGTAAAAATCTTGTGAATGGTCAAGTTTTAGCAAAATATAACAAAAAAAAGAGAAAAATAATTTGAAAATTCTTCTTTTAATAAAAAATTCAATAAATTCTAAGCACTGATTAAATCTAAAGGTTCTATGTAATTTAAATTAGATTATTTAAATGAAAAACCTTTTTTGACATTTAACACTTAAGACAAAATTGATTAAATTAGATTTAATTCTCAAACTACGTTTTCATTAAAGTCTCATTAAAAGATGAGGAGAACTTTGTACTTTGCGGTAAAAGTTGTTTAAACGCTGGTTGATTATGTTTTCTTTCCACTCAAAGGGACTGTAAACCTAATTTCAAGTGAGGAAATTTGAGTTCTCTATTAAATTGACACGCTCATCTCTACTGAAGGAAATGATATAGAAATTATCAGAGTTAATCATTTTAAAAATCATAGAAAAACTACAATATCATCCACATGTTTTTGATCAGAAAACTTCAGTGAACACTTTTTTTTAACAGATGTGTAGGTTTCTAGTAAATTAGATTCTTTGAGTCTACATATATATTTTTTAATAATCCGCCTTATATGCTTTATTCATTCTCATCTTATATTCTTTATTCAATATATTCATAATTCACTTCATTATTTATTAAATATATTCTTTATTCATTCTATTCTTTATTCATTATTTTCTTTATTTATTTTATTCTTTATGAATTATTTTCTTTTTGAAAAATATTCTTTATTCATTTTATTCTTTATGAATTATATTTCTGATTGATTATATTCTTTATTCTTTATTTAGTCTATTCTTCATTGATTTTACTCATTTATTCTAGTCTTCACCCAATTATAGTCTTTATTTATTTCCTTTATTCATTCTAATTTTTATTTATTTTCTTAATTCATTCTATTCTATTAACTTTTTTTAACAATTACAAAAGAGTTTTTTCTATACTTGTATAATTGTTTTTGTTAATCGGAAAGATATTGTGAGAAAATGTTGCTTAACTTTTTAATCTAAAAATTCTTTTTTTCAGAAATGAAACAAGAGCTTGAGGATGCCATGTCAGATATTAAAAAAACCGCAAACAAAGTTCGCGCCAAACTCAAGGAAAATCCGCCATTTTGATTTATTCTCCATTTTGTTTCGTTTTTCCCGCCATTTTGTTTCCTATCTTCACTGTAAACTTCCTCCGCCATTTTCATCTCCATTGTGATTTTTAATCACTATTCTGGTTTTTAACTCATTTTTGATTTTAATTGGGTTTTTTTCTAGGCTCTTATAATATTTGAATCACCAATTGGGTTTTAATGAATTTTCTTTTTCTGGCATTTTGTAAAAGAAGACGAAAAATATTTTTTATTCAATTTTGTGTGATTACCTCAGGTGATTGAAACAAGTATAGAACAAGAAGAACAGGTAGAAAAAATTGTATATACAGTGGTCTTAATGTATATCATAACAATGAAGACGACTTTAAATTTTTTTAATACCCACCAACCTTACAAACAGCAGAGACACAAAAACATTAAAAAAAGAAAAGTTGTCAATCTAAAATCTTCTCTTTATTTACTTGTAAACTTGTATTTCAAAAATGCTTGTTAGGGATCATAGCATTATTAATAAAAAGTCGTCTTCATTGTATCAATTTAATAAATTTTATCCTAAATTTGGAAAAATTAATATCCAAATATAGTCCGGAGTTTTTAAATTTTTTAATATTAGAAAATTAGATGTTCTGCTATAATCTTTTCATAGCTTTTGCATATTAATGGCGATATTTAATCTTTATGAAATCGGTGGGAAAAGAAATAACATTTGGAGAATTTTCCATTTAAAAAACATACACCCAAAAATCAATAAAAATAATTCCCCTTTAAAATTATAAATTTTTCCCTGATTTGGTGGCGCCAGCAAACGTTCCTTTAAAAGAAGTTATTTCCACCACTGGGGGAACCGGGTAGGGGGGCGGGTTTTTTGTGTAAATATCGTTTCCTATCTCTGAAAGAGTGGAATAAAACTACTAGATCTGTTAATGCACTAGATACACATGAGAATAGTTCTGAAATGTATCAAATGTATCAAAATATATTAAAATCTTTAAAAATACTTTTTTCAAAAATATGGAAAATACTTTTTGAAATTATGAAAATAAATGAAAACGTATAAAAATTTATAAAAATGTATCAAAATGTATCAAAATGTATCAAAACAATATAAAAAAAAAACAATAAAGATATATACCAAAAAATTTACAAAAAATATCTATCAATATATATATGATTTATTAATCTATAATTATATATTATAATTTATAAATATATATTATATTAATAATACAAAATTCTANAACTAGTATACAACCCTGAATCCCCATGAAAGGGCAGCAAGTTGCTTAATCCTTTTTCATAGATTTTACTCAAAAAAAAATATTTTTATCCCTAAAAATCATATACTTTCCAAAGTCAGCGAAAAAACTACCCTGAATTTTTGTCACCCTTTCAGATAATTGAGATATTAATTCTTTCAAGTTGATGGCAAAAAATAAAAAAGAAAAAAGTAAAAGATAATTTAACACAAGGTTATAGTGCAAGGAAGTTAATTGCAGTTGCGTATACTCTGCATACATATTGAAACTAGTTCTCTCTCGGCGGAATATGTAAACAAAAATAGATGCATCAGTCTTCGTTTAGTATCCGAGGAGGTTAAGAACATTAAACTTTGATATTTCTGATAATTCACATAATATTTCATTGATTTTTTATGTGAAAGATGGATCCCATGTCAGGCTTCGACATCCGTCTTGTGTTTACATTACCGCCTAGAGACAGTACGCTGCAGTACAAAAGATGCTACACCTCTGAAACAATTTTCCTTGCATTATAACCTTGCTTTAACATATAAAAAAAAAGTTGGTAACAGTGAAAATGTACAAGATCATAAACTAATCTGTTTCACCACCTTTCACAAGCAGATTTAAAATGGTGCAGTGACTTCTGTAACTTCAACTACCCTCCAATATGGTCTCATAGAGTCATCAAAAAACTTCAAAATAACTAATAGAAACAAAAAAAACATTAAAAAATAGTAAAATTCTTAGACAATGATCTAAAACTATTAAAAATTCAATTTATTAAGGTGATGACAGAATATAACCGGACCCAGACAGATTACAGAGAAAGATGTAAATCAAGGATACAACGCCAACTGGAAATAAGTAAGTATTTTTTAGACCTTCCAGTTTCTTAACAATCAGTTTATCAAGGATAAAATAATGATAAAGAAAAGTCGCAGATTTTTCTGTTTTTAACAGTGGATTTCATCAATTTTGTTGAACCTGAAAGGTACCTGATAACCTCTTTATACCTATCTTGCACATAGTATCTGAAGCGATACAAACTATAATCTAAACATTGTATATATGTATAAATGGTATTTATTTTATGCCTGATTACAGGTTATTTAACACAATATTTACAGGTTATTCACAATCACCAGAGCTTGGCTCACTCTCCCATTGGATTTTTTTATGATTTTAGATACCATAAAATTTTGTTTTTCTGTTAAATTAATTAATGATATTTTACCTCTGATTTAATTATGCCAAAATGTTAGTTTTCTTTCTTTGGTGTATGACCAAAAAGCATGTTTGCAATTTTTAGCAGTTCAAGTTTTTGGATCACTTTTCAATGGAGTACTTTTATGTTGAACCTTAGTTAATTTGGGAGCTTGAATTACGGTTTATCACAATTTGTATTACTATGTTTCATTGAGCTCTTTTTTAGCAATGATTTTAACTATTAAACGTTTAAATGTTGGTTTTCCAGTCTTCTTTTTTTCTTCTTACTAAATTATAAAATAATTATAAAAATTATTTACCTCTAAAATGATTGAACTTGGCATTTTTTCTAAAAAATTTTTACTTTCTGTTTTGATTGGACAAAACTTCCCTGGGGTCATGTATTGCATATTAACAAACAAACAAATATTTAAATAGAATTATGTTATTATTAATAATTATTTTATTAGCTGGACGAACAACAACTAATGAGGAACTAGAGGATATGTTGGAACAGGGGAACCCTGCTGTTTTTACACAGGTTATTAAGTAGTCAATTAATTAATTAATAAATCAATCAATAAGTAAATTAATCAATTACTTTTTTAAATCAAATGAAAGAATGAATGATTCAATCCATCAATTAGCTTATCAATCAAACAAATTATACCATTCAGTCAATCAATTATAAATCAATTGATATATTTATACATTAATCAATCAATCAATTTATGAACCTATCAATCAATTTATAAATCAACAAATCAAAACTATAGGATTTTGAATCATTTTATCCATTCTTGTGTCCAAGAAATTATTGGCAATATTCAAATGTTATGCTTATCTATTATTTGTAGGGTAGGTAATAGTGTTTTATTGAAATATATTTGAAATTTAAGTCATAAATCATGTTTTAAATTTCTAAATCTAGAAGTGGTCTATTTGTGTCAAGTACATTGTATAATTCTGAATTTTAAACTTGTTCAGGAAATTTTCAAATTTATTTTGGGTGATTTGCAAAATTAAATTTGCAAAATTAAATTTGCAAAATTAAAGCCTCAAAATAAAAAAAATGGCTTTTACTATTTTCTGAGTTAATCATATTTTGTATTTTAATATTATTTCAAAACCATGTCTGGAGAGGAAATTGTTATTCAATTGCAGTAGAATTCTTGACAAATTAAATGAATAAAAAGGAATATAAATCTGACTAGAACTATAGTCCCGATAGTTAGAACTGAGTGTCCTAGAAGATGAATCATAAATGATCTCTGCAGCAAAGACAACAAGACCATGTTAAATTGTCCAATCAGAAAGGACATTGTTGTTTCTTGGACAAACTTCAGAAATTTTAACCCAACAGATGTCAAGAATTGTGTATCCATTTTTTTTTAACTTTTATTCAGCCTTATATCACTTAAAAATAAATTTTGAATTTGATAAAAGCATCAATTTTTATTTAAAATGAGGGGTTAAATGTGAAGAATGAATTTTTTTGACTTTAACTTTAACTAAACTAATATTTAGGGTATTATTATGGACACTGCTGCTGCCCGTCAAACCCTAGCAGATATAGAGGCTCGGCATGCGGATATTATTAAACTTGAAACTAGTATCAAGGAGCTACATGATATGTTTATGGATATGGCAATGCTAGTAGAGAGTCAGGTATCATATAATTCATCGACTTACTTTTCTAATCCTTCTTCTAGCTGTTTTTAAGGAATAGCAGGGGTATATATATTCTTTAGAAATACTCCCCCCCGCTCCCCCTCTTGAACAATCATTCAGTTCAGAAAGTTTAAGGTTATTTTGCTGAATTATGAATAATAAATGTATTTTTTCCAATTTATTCCTTCAGAAAGGAAATTGTTTTTCTGACCAATTTAATCAGTTAAAACACACAAAGAAAAACTTGTGAAAATAGGGGGGAAACTTCACAGTTTATATCCAACTTTTCATTGTTTTTCCTTAAGTCTCCAAAGATCATCTCCCTCATTTCTGGGAAGGAAGGGCAGATGATCTTCAAAATGTATACCCCTGTTATTCATCCTTTCATTTTGATCAAACTTCTCATCTGATTTTCAATGAGCAGTATATAAATAAGAGGGGGTTGAGTATTTTACATTCAACATTGATGTATCAGGACAGCTCAGAAACTGATAAAATTGTAAACAAAGAACTATTAGTAATTAAAGATTGTTTGGTAATGTTGCAATGATACTAGCTGACCTAAGACATTTAACAGTAAAATGCAAACAACTACTATTCATAGATCTCTCTAGATTTGCTCCAATTGTTTGATTGTAAGGTTATGATTGAAATTGCGAGTAGCAATAGAACTACTGAGTGAGTAATGGAGTTTAAATTAATGATGTTAAAGGACAGTTCAAGAATAAGTTGGGTACTAACAATAACTTTGTATAAAATAACTTTGGGTACCTAGGTTGGAACTTTTGTGTGGAGTATAATTAAATTTAAATGCTTGATCTAGATATCCAAAATAGGCACTTTTAATATCAAGTTAAACTCTCAATTTAAGTTATCCCTGCAGGGTAGGACCACCACAGAATGTCAAAGAGGAATATCATTAATCCGGAGACGCAAGGATTCAAAACATAAAAGTTCTGACTCATGGGCAAATAATCGTTTGCTGAAAACTCTGATATCATTTCTACAGCTGTCCTAAGGTGTCACAATAGTAATATATTGAAGCAATACATATCCCTATCTCGTCAGTTCTATTACTTCTTGGGAAATTGTATTGTTGTTGTATTATCTATTCATTCATTCATTAATTTTTTCTCCTGAGGAGAATATATATTTTGCTTCATTGTTGTTTTTATTCACATATAGTCAGTATAGCATTTTCTCTAGACTTTCTTACCAAATATGTTGTTTTTGACTGAATTTGAAAATAAATGGTGTTCTGGCAATTAATTTAACTTTGGGAAAAAGTATTATTAAGATGATGAGGAACGTATTTTCAAGTTCCCTCCCAAAAAGTGGGGTAATTTTTACAGAAATAAACTCCCCTATTATTTATTATTTACATTTTTTGTGTTGGGTTTCTCTGTAGGACACTAATTAGAACAAGATAAAGCATTCAGGGTTTATAGTAATCCCCATGGTGAGCAAATAGAGAGCCAACTGTTCATGTTGGTCAAACAAAACTTAAGCCCAGCTTTGTTTACAAAATATTTCTTTCCAAAAGGCAAGGGCGTATATTTTGCTGTTCCCCCCCCCCCTTCCCCACCTGCCAAAAATATGAGCTTTCTTTGGGTTTGGGGGAAAAGTTAAAAGAATAAAGGAAGGGAAAGGGAAAAGGGATGGGAAGGGGAAAAGGAAAGGCAAGGGGAAAAGGAAAGGCAAGGGGAAAAGGGAAAGGAAGGAAAAAGAGATGGGAAAGGTAAGAGAAAAGGTAAGAGAAAAGGAAAGAAAAATGGGAAGAGAAAAGGAAAGAGAAAAGGAAAGAGAAAAGGAAAGAGAAAAGGAAAGAGAAAAGGAAAGAGGAAAGAGGAAAGGAAAGAGAAAAGGAAAGAGAAAAGGAAAAAGAAAAGGAAAAAGAAAAGGAAAAAGAAAAGGAAAGAGAAAATGGAAGAGAAAAGGGAAGAGAACAAGGGATATAGTGAAGGGTAAAGGGGAAGAGGGAAGGGAAAAAGGGAAATAGAGAAGGTGGAAAGGGAAAGAGATGATTTTCATCATCACAAAAAAAATTAACTAATAACAGTATCAGAAATGCTTTAAAAAAAATCTTAGAGGGGACTTTAAAGTTAACCTTTGTGGGGCACCTAAACACTACATTATACTACTAAAATCCCAAAATTTTCTTTGAAAGGGGGGCTCTGCTACCACTTCAAAGTTTGTGTGGGCTGCTGAAACTTGTTTTTAAGTTGTGGATTTGGGGAAAAAATATGATTTTAAAAGGGCCCGTAAGAATATAAGTCTCAGAACTAGTATACAACCCTGAATGTTTAAGTTTATTTACCTGTGTGGTGAAGCTAACAATTCTTGAATTTTCCTACTTACCTTTCATCATAAATAAATTTTGTTTAAGTATTCAAAAAAGTTAATTTTTTTTATGGGTTAATAAAGTTTTTTATGTTTTAAATAAAAATTGAAGGAAACTAGTACTTATATTCCGGAGTGAAAAGCAAGATTAATCAACTTCTTTGTTAAGTAACAAAGAAATTTAATTAAATTCTTAATAAAAAACCTTGCACAGATCCTCATCATTGATCTTAGATGATTTTACTTTTATCATGGGCAACATTAAAATAAAACTACTCGAAAACAAAACAAAAATTAAGCAATAAATAAACAAAATTGCTTTTAAGTTTTTATATTTAAATTATACCATCATCATCATTATATATATATTTAGTGGTTGTATACATCCAAAGAAAGTTTTCCTAAGTTTTGACAAATTTGCACCATTCTGTGAAAAATGTTATATGATAAACTGACAGATGAAAGCCAAGGATCTTTGGATATAAAAATTCTTTTAAACATTGTATTTGTCTCCCACCATTGATGTTAAACTCAATTTCATATCATTTAATATCGACATACCAATTCATTATCATCATTTTTTTATCATAAATTTGCTTTTATTATGTGTACTAAACCTAGTTATTTCCATGTAGACTCAATGTTATGTGTGCAGGTAATTCACTGAATTCTGTAAGGGCATATGTTTAAATATGGGTATATATTTTATCATGTAGATATTAAAGCAAAAAAAACAATGAACAGGGATTGTCTGAATATGACTCAAAGAACGATCATATTTGTTCTAAAGTGCTAATATTAATAACAAATAATTTTTACCTGAAATTGTAATATATACCTTTATTTATTTTATATACCTCTGGATTTCTGAAATGAGAAATAAACCATACTCTACCTTCAGGACGGAACAAGTAGATTTAGCTTCAGTAGAGAACAAAATAAAAATTCTACAAATTTGTAACTCAAGATGCAATGTTAATGTTATTACCGCCCTTTGCCTAACATTACTGAGCTATGAAATCAATTCAATGAGACAATTAAGTAAAAAACTAACATAACTTCCCTATTCAAGTAATTTATTATTATGTCATTTAAATTCATGACTGATAAATGCTGCATCTTTCTTTCTTTGAATAAGCTTAAACTTGTAAGAGTGTATTTTTCACTTACATTTGCTTGGGTTTTCTTACTTTGAAGTTTTGTTGACCAAAGTAGTCTAAGGAACCACCTGCTTGAGTTAATTTTCCTAATTTCCCATAAAAAAAATATTCTTAATTTCTTCAGCCTTTTAATCAAGCAATTCTTTTATGCTGGAACTTTTTGGTAGTATAGTTTTTTTACACAGTCATTATCATTTTATTAGTTTTGCAGGGTTGTAAAAATATGACAAGCAGATATTTCTAATGCTAAATATTTTGTATTCGCGTTTTTTACTTCTCTTTGATATATAACAATTGAGAAAAGCTACTCCTTTGTTTTGGCAAATCATGTAATTCAATCTTAGTTTAATGATTCAAAGTTTATAATACTACAGAAGTATTCCCCTCCTCCTATTTTATTTCTCTCATGTATTATTTATAACAACCTCTCCGTAGTGAGAGGTAATCATTGAATACAATTTATAGTGAAATAATATAAAGAAAAAGAAAAACACTCGAAACAAAAGTAAAAAGAAGTATTTTTTGTTATTTTATTGAATATATCATTTAAAAACTGCACCAACATTTGTTTTGTTTATTCATTAATGCATGATCTAAGAAGTACTTGTCAAGTAGAAAATTAAATAAAACGTGCAAGATTTAAAATTTAAAAATTTCAGTATTTTGGTTTAATATAAATTATTTTGTTGTTGTGTATAATTCCCATATTGTTTCTAAAATGGGGTGTGTACTGTTTTTAACTTGATTTAAATAAGATCAACACATTTTATAAATTCTACATTTCTACATTGCGCCTTTTATATTCTTAAAGAATCTTGAATGTAATTTTAATTGAAATATGCTTTTTTAGATAATTAAAACTTCTTAACCCTATTCCCGCTGGGGGTCAAATTGACCCCCCCCCTGTTTTTTTTTTTACATAACTCAAAAAGTATTGGTCTGAGGCTGTTGAAATTTTCTGACTTTTCTTACATACCCAAAGCCCTCCCTTTAGGCCTAAAACCGGGCTTTAATGCTAACTGCCTGAGTCCTCAGGCACACTGCCTGAATGACTGCTTTTGCCTGTAGCAAACTAAATCTTTGTTTTGACCCACTTTCACTTGTCAGATTTTGATAAAATTTAGCTTTTTGGAAAGCCTATGACATAAGGAAACGGATCGTCCAAGTTTTGCGAAAAAAAAATTGCACATTTTTTGCAAACAACCTGTCAAAGAAAATTTGCACATTTTTAGTTTTTCTTGATTAAAAATCAGGTTATTTAAAATTTTGCAAAAATTTTAAATAACCTGATTTGGCATGGTCAAGGGCTTTTCAAAAATGTATAATTTGTCATTTTTTGGACAATTCTTTTTTTTGCAAACATTTTTACTATAAAACTGGATTTTGCGATAAAAAATTCAATTTTTGCAAATTTGCAAATTTTTTTGCAGATTCTAAAAGTAGAGCACAAGAGCTTTCTAATGATGTATCATTTGTCATATTTGGACATAAAACATGGGATTTAGAGGGGGGTCAAATTGACCCCCCCCCCCAGCATTTCCTGGTTTTCAAGTACCCCAGCGGGGATAGGGTTAATCTGTCCTTAATGAACTTTTAAATATATAAAAAAAAATTGTGTGGTTTCGGTTGTTGACACATTTTGACTTACACATTTAAAGTTTTATATTGCAACTGCAATACCAGACAAAATCAGAAAAACTTTATTCATTAGACTTTTATTGTAGTTTGTTAATGGTTTGTATTTAAAATTACACGGATTGAAAAAAGCATGTTGGTATTTTTTTACATTTCTGAACTCAAATATTGTTTTTGGATATTACTAGTAATTATTAAACTATTTTTTGTTCAATACATTTTATCCTTATGTCTGGTAGCTATCATGTAGGGTTATGTTTCATCTATTTAAAAAATGGTTTAAGCAAAATAATCCATAGCTTTAACTATGTAGTTCAAATAGATTGTGAGTGTTCCATTATCATTGGACAGTAAGAAAGACTCCCACCCGAGATTTAATAGAAATTAATGGAATTTAGAAAATAAATTAGCTTGTTGAAAAATTCTTATCTGTGAAATGTCCATTGTTCAAATTATGCATTGTCCTGTATAAAAAAATAACCCTTCAACCATGAATTTCCCAAACATCATAGTTTTAGTGAATAATCTATTATTATGCCGCTTTTTATAAAATGTATTTTTTGTTTAAATATGCACTGGAAAAAGGATAGAGACATAATTGGCTAAGGCATGACTTCTTGTCACTAAATCAAAAAATTTGTTTTATATGGCCGCCTATTAATCTGTTTTCCTCTTACAATTGAAGTATCAATTTTTTTAGTTTTGTTTGTTGTCAAAAATATTTTCTCCACAAGGTTGTGTTGTCTATTGGTTGAATAATGATTATGTAAATAGGTTTATAAATGAGATTTCTAATCTGACAAGAGATCCTCAGTTTAGTTTTGCAGATTTTTTCACGGGTGTATATTTTCCTAAAAAATCATCCCCTCCCCTTTTTAGAAAATCAATTTTTCCCTAGAAGTTATTTTTAGGAGTTTCTTTTGGGGGGGAAATCAATAAATGACTTTTTGGGTAAAAACTATCAAAAAGAATAAAAATACATTTTCATTTTTTTCACCAATTCTTCAAAAATATACACCCCTGGATCATTTTATAATTAGAAAACTAAGTTAGTAGTGACTATTTTCCAGAGCACTCCCTTCCAAAGGTGGTACTTCGCTAATCATGAGGGGTTAATTCTTGTGTTCTCAACCCCTCATGAAGTCTTGAATTATTTAGATCTAAAAAAAGAAGTACCGTAAGGAAATTGATTTTTGATTTAAGGCCATATGTAAAATTACAAAATCCTGCTTTAAGTTTGAACTAAGTTTCGGCACTTAATGTTTACATTTTGCATGCAATAAGCACTAAAAAAAATACTTTGGAGCAGAAAAAGGACTCTCTGGAAAATATTTAGCCCTAACCCACAATACAGTAGTGGTATCTTCTAGAACTACATCCATGACATGTAGTTCTGTCTTGAACCAGTGCTTAGGATTAGGATCTGGATTTGATGGATCTGCAACATTTTAGCTTTCTAGATCTGGATCTGAATCAAAATTAAATAGATCCTGAGCACTGTCAAACTTAGAACTTAAAAAATAAGCTTGGTTTGAAGAATCTTTTATTTATCAATGGTAAATTTGAATGGATTTGTCTAGGGGGAGATGATAGATCGGATAGAATATCATGTTGAACATGCGGTAGACTATGTCCAGACAGCAACACAGGACACTAAGAAGGCCCTGAAATATCAGTCCAAGGCCAGACGGGTAAGTTGACATAAATTAATCACATAATAATAATTATTAATATTGAAATGTGAAGTGAAAAGTCCTTCAACATGTTGACTTTGACACAAATTGTGACAAGGCATTAAACAATTTTTTTTTAACAATATGTTAAATTTTTCTTTTTGGCATTGGGTATTGATCGTTATTTACTACATTCTGTAAATGTTAATTTATCATATATTCCTAAAATTATATGGGACACTCTGTAAGCAAAATTTTAAATCTATTTTGACAAGATTAATTTGATATATTATCTAGAAATCAGTGTAATAATGGAGATTTCTTTGTATTCTCTAACAAAGATATTTCCAGTATTACATTGTTCTCCCCCACAGATTATCATATTTTTTTGGGAATGTTAGCTTTTCAGACTCTAGTGGTCCAGAGTATAAGAACTATTTATTTTTTAATAATCATTATCTTTCTATTTGAGGGGAATATGATATTATTCCAGGATTAATATATTTAGTCAGATTTTTCCTTTATTTTTCCTACCTTTCAAAATTATTAGAAGAATTTCACATTCCTATGGTATTAGGGGTGGGGGTGGGGGGGAATTTTGAGATACTAGAAATATTTTTCTGGAAAATATATTCCCCTTGGGTATTGGTATGGCTGCATACTCCCAGGAGAAGAATATCAATTCAAACCTAGATATTGGAAAATAGAAAATATTATATTATATGTTTCATGTTCTAGTCTGTCCATTCCCCTCCCTCAATTATACCTAGGAATTGATCATAAAGGGAGCGTTTAGCTATTCAAAAATACAAATTCCTTTATTGATGGGATTCAAAATAAAAGCCAGTGGTGACACTTAAGTTAATGATGTCCATGAGGGCCTGATAGTGCAATCTTCATGTTTTCTTATTTTAAGATCTAAAGACTTCAGTTTGGATAGCCCTGAGTCTAATGAATGATAAATATGTATTTTATTTGCAAAAAAATTGGGTCTTCTGGCTAGTACAAAAAATAATGAATTCAGCCTTCAGAAATATTTTTGAGCAATGTTATTGTTTCAGTCAGTTGGACTTCTGAAATTATACAAAAATGTTGGCATTATGTACATTGAATAACTCCAAAAGTTTAAGAGATTAAACTGTTAAGTTCATGGGTGGCTTAAGCAGGATAGATATTTGTACCTCTGATCTAAATTTGAACTGTGTTTAGGGTCCTTGTATTACAAAATCAGAACAACATGCGTCCAAAGACACACTTTCCATTCCAGCCCAAACTATACTTTTCAACTTGCCAAAAATGCACTCCTTGGAATTTAAAACGGTGGGTTCCAATGGGGGGTATTTATTTTACGAAAAATTATGTAATTTTTTTATTGGGGAAAGGAAATGTTATGGAGGGTATAGTAAATGAATTTTTGGTAAAATGTCACAAAAACTTACAAGTCGAAGTCCTAATTCATTAAAATTAATTCTTCAAAATATATACCCCTGTTTCTATCTGGGTATTGCCTGCCTTGAGAGTGAAACTAATATTGTTCAAACCTTCATAACTATTGAGAAATATTAACTTCAACCCTGCATGGTGTGATCTAACTTTGAGACTTGCAGTTTAGATAGGGGTGTATATTTTCTTCAAAAATGTTCTTTTTTCCCCTCTTTGGGAGAAATTTTTTCCCCAGGAGGTTAGGGTTTTTTTTTCTAAATTTGGAAAAATAATGATGTTTTGCGGAAAAGTATGAAAAAGGATGAAAAACTTACCTTCCCCCCCCCCCAGCCCAGGGGGGGGAATTCTTAAAAATATACACCCATGAGTTTTGAGAGTAATAGAGAGTATCAGCCTGATTTTTTAAATTCTAAAATTTGTGCAAGGCATTTTGGTTGAATTAAAGGAACTGTAGGCGTAATTTTTAGTTCCCCTTGCTCAGTTATATTTGTTTCTTTTACTGATGAGCCATATGATGTTTAATTCATTGTTAATCATGCAAACCTTTTAAGCAGTGCTTAGGATCCATTTAATTTTGATGGGGATCCGGATCTTGGATCCACACTGGAATAAATTGGATCTGGATCCAGGTCATTTCTTTAAGATTTACTGAATTTTTTGTAACAAAAAATGATTTTCAATTTTTTTTTCGCTTATATTTATCCTAAAACCATTCAAAAATGAGGGAATTTTATATAATCATCTTTTTTCAAAAGTTCAGATTTGGGTTTTAGGAGTAAAAATTTTTTTTTTTGCATTTTTTTTGATATTTTACCCCTTGGATCCGGACCCGAGGATTCGCATATTTTTGCGGATCTGGATTCGGATCCAGGAAGCCAAAATCTTGCGGATCTAACGGATCCGGATCCTAAGAACTGCTTTTAAGGGTACCGTTGTAAATAAGATATGCCATTATTTTTTCTATTGAGGGTCACTTGAAATTACGTCTACAGTTCCTTTTTATGCTAAAGGGTGTCTTACATATTATTTATTTAATTTGTGTATAACAATTGCTAAATCATAAATGTTAATTAAATTGAACCCTTTTCAATTTGAGTGATGTACACACTGTTGGGGATGTGATTTCGTTTGTTTTTAAAGACTAAGTTTTTGGACTTTTTAAAGGTTCCACACGCAAATAAAAAAAAAATTTCTGAACATTTGCTTTTTTAACACGATATAAATTCTGTGGCAGTACTTTCTTCGGATTGTATAGCATAATTAAAATGTTGACCTTGGGAGACGTTAGTTGCATGAACAAACTAAAAAACGAACCAAAAACCAACTTAATGGATAACCTTTAATCCCAACTACTTAATCCGATTATCCACTATAGTAACTTTTCATTTTAGTCTTTAATCCACTCTTTTTTCTCTCTTTGGATATCCGTACATTGTTTTCTCCAATGAGAGGGCAGGAATTTAGTTCGTAAATTGTATTGACCAATGACAGTCTTGTAAATAAATTCTATCCCATGAGAAAAATCCGCAGTTATTAACAAATAAAGAACATGTTGTCGGCCATTTTGTAAATTAATCGGTAAATAAAAATATTTATTAATACGTTTGAGATTCTGTTTTAACCAATTTTAACTAATGTATTAATAAAATAAATGGATGAGAAATCAAGTGAAGGCTCTTCCAGTCAAAAAACAAACAAATCTGGCGTTCCTAGGATCAAATTTGTTGATCTAAATATTTAATCTCGATATCCACCATTCTAAAGTTCCTAGCTATGGTTCATTTTTTCCTTTGTTCATGCAAATATCTTCTTAGTGTTAAAATGTTCAGAAAAAAAAAGATTTTTTACTTTAAAATCTTCTCAAAATTTTGTGGAATCATTCATGAGTTCAAAAACCTTAATAGTCTTGAAAAACTAACTAAATCAATTTTCCAACATTACAATATAATTGTCATAGCTAATGACTCTGTAATTCTCTTAATAACATCGACTTAAAAAAGTTTTGAATGTTATCAGTATATGGTTTCCAAATATTTCAAGATCAATTTGGTTCCTTAAAGGCATTATGGAACATTTTCCGAAACTGTAATTTTTGGAAATTAACAAAGCTAGTTGTGACATAATGATAAAAGTTTACGCGACGATTATTCCAGATTAAAATCCATTAATAAACGTGTCGTAAACATTTCCCTCTCGTCATACCTATCTCTGGTTTGTGATTCTTACAGCATCAGGAAAGGTTCCGTGTAAGGCCTTTACTGAACCAAATCAATACAGAAGAAATTGAAAACCCCAATTCAAAGCATCAAGACTCAAAAAGTATCAATCTTTGTTATAAATTATTTCTAGCATGTTTTACCAATTAAGTATTTCGGAAAAAAAATTGTAAATGTATGAAAACATTTCCGGTATACTTAATTTTCATATATTTATTTTGAAAGGTTTGTCAAATTGTGACTTTTCAGATATTTTTTTATCTTCCGCAAGACACATTTCTTGCTGTTGATTGGGTTTTTGATGGAAAGGTCACTTAACATTGACAATTCTTCAGAATTATTATTAAACATTATTTTTACACAAAATACATTTATTTTTCAAACAAAGTTAAAATGATAACGTTTAGAAATTCCATAATTTTAGTATTTTATGGAATTTTATCAAATGTGAACACATTTTCGTTATTAATTAATTTTGCATCCTTTTTTTTATTACACCTACAGTGGTCGGCGATTATATCGATACAATAAAGACGACTTTTTATTAGTAATTTGTAAGCATTTTAAAAAAAGAGAAGCTGGTAATTGACAACTTTTCTTTCTTTGTGTATCTGCTGTTTGAAACTGATGGTTGAAATCAAAATTGAAATAGAAAATCGTCTTCCTTGTATTAATATACACGAGGACTGTATATTTTAGAATAAGATATTGCTTGCGTCCTGTGTGTCCTTTGTCGTCCTAGTCCTAATAATAGTTATAGCAGTTGTTGTTTACCAAAACTTACGTCCTAGGGACAGTAGATAGTCCAGGTTTGTATTTTTTAGACATTTTTTAGAAATTATTTTTAGCATTTTTTTTAGAAATTTTTTTAAGAAATGTTTTTAAGAAATTTTTTTTAGATATTTTTTTAAATATTGATGCATACGGTGAAATGCATAAACTGTGGAATGTAAAGCAAAAGTAGTTTAAAAATTAACTTAATCAGTGAAATGTGTGTTTTTACATAAATGCTGGTGTTATTTTTGCCAATTTGAATCGAAATTTACGTTTTCCTACTCCACAATTTTATAGGTACCACTGTATATTGTTATTATTCATTTCTATAATTTTAAATTTCGTTTTACAAGCTTACGTCCTGAACACGTCGCAGAATTTAGAATAAGAATTGTTTGGGATAGACCATACAAATTTGGAATAAAATGCATGAAAATTTCTTTTAATTTTAAGTATTATTTAAATTTTTTCAGTTTTTTTTTAAATTTTAAATTTTATTTTATTTGTTTATTTTAGAAGAAAATCTGGTTAGCTGTATGTATAGGAGCTATCATTCTTATTATTACACTTACAATTATTATAGTTAAAGCATAGTTTTTGTATTATGTTTTTATGTAATTTTGTAGCATGATATTTCTAGAAGAATAGTTATACTCAGGTTTTTATCAAAGTGTTTTTGTTTCATATGCCTCTCTCAAAATTCGAAAGTTCTTTTAAAACCTTTTAATTTCTATAATTCTTTGTTTTGCATTATGAATTTTGCTATTATTTTTTATAGCTGTATTAGAGTTATAACCATAAAACTCTGGAATAGAAAGACGACAATTTAGTAAAATTATGACTTAAAATAGTCAACATGAGACAAAGCAATAGTGCAGTGTGAACAAACCAATTTTACTTAATATGTGAACTATTAAGTCACAAGTAAAACTATTTGCCTTGTAACAACATCAAATACACTTTATTATTGCCTTAATATCGTCTTCCTATTCCACAGTTTTCAGGTTATCACTATACAGTTCATAAAGTTTTTGGCAAATAGTATAATCCTGACTAAAAAAGATGAAAATAATTGTTTAAGCTGAAAAGCATTGTTATCTTTGCATAGAGGTTACTTGAAATTCCCCGTACACTCCCTTTAATAACATTTCTAAGGTTTCACCTTGCCTCCTTTCAACCTACGATATGTAACTATTCTTCTAGAAAGCAACAGTGGTCCCCGTTTACATCAATACAATGAAGACGATTTTTCTGTTAAAGTTCAGATTTTTAACAAGTTTTTCAAACTACAAGTTTACAAGTTAACAAAGAGAAGATGTAGCTTCTCATTTCTCCGTTTGGTAAAAATCGAAATTGAAATAAAAAATCATATTGTATTGATATATACGACGACGACTGGAAACAACCCCAGTGTCCACTCCTTTTATTACAAACAAACTGTTTTCTGTATTATTCTTGGATCCGGTTCAATCTAACAGTTGAGGTAGTTTTTAATGCATATTTGATCGATGATAGGAATCAAAATTTGATTATTTTGATTTTTTTATTTGTTAGGATTAAAAATAATCCAATTCCGTTTTATAATATGAATTGTAATTTGAACAGTTGTGTTTATGACTAACCTAATTATTTTCATTCCATTTATTTTAACTGTTTTCAATGTCAGACTTTGCTGAAGAAAAAACGGATTTACATTCTTCAAGGAGTGCAATTTCAAGTGACCCATACAAGCAAAGACGGAAACGTCTTATTCACATTGGTTCCCTTAAAAGTTTTGCTTGTTTAAGTATGAATTAGTTACAGGGTGTCCCACGAAACATGACAGTTGTTTAATAGTTTAGAATGTCTTCTTCCATAATTTGTTAAATTGTTTAATACTATAAAGACAACAATAAAAATATCATATGTGATCGAGTCATATTATAGTAAAATTAATTTCAAAGTAAAATATAAGAGCAAAAGATTTTTTAAACAAAATAAACTGCAAACAGCCTTTAATATCTAATACAGTGTATGGAAGACGACATTAAAAACTATTTACCAAGTGTCATGTTTTGTGGGTCACACTGCTGAGGATTTTGAAAACTTATTATTTATATTTGTGGATTTTCTATAAAAGTGACTTTGTAGCGAGGATCCCTTTAAATTCCGCTTTTAGTACCTTTAAAGGTCTCTAGGTGGAAATTTAGTGCCTGAACCGCGAGTATACAATCTTTTTTAAAGGTACTAAATGTACACTAAGTGAACAATCTTTTTTGGGTCGATTTTCCATTTTTTATTTCTTTAGAATGATTCAACAAGATAGAACAGTTTAATAAAATCAAACTTAAAGAGAATACAGTTGCGAACTGTTGGAGGTTTTATTGAAAGTTTTTTTTTAAAAGCAAACCAAACTTGGAAGTTAATTTTCAACCAGAAAAAGTCGATATCTACGTTATCATCTTTGCTTGGACAGCGGTTTAAAAGCGGTTTAAAAGGTACCAAAGTAAATCGTACATTCCATTCTAACAAATTTGAAGTTAATATGAAGTTAGGGTTCCAGCTCCATTCCCAATTTGATTTTATTAAAATAACTTATTTTATGTTAAATTTTGAACTTATTATTTAACTTTTGCACATATAAGCATGCATATAAAATTAGCACAGAATTATTCGCACAACATGTATTTGCTAGTCACAAAATTTATTTTATTATGTATAAATGTTATTTTATACAAAAAATGTAGTGTGGATATTTTTAACAAATGATATCGAGATGAGGTTTCCTATAATTTTATTGGATTTCAATGCCCCCCCCCCCCTCCCCCACGATATACTACAGTGATAGGCAATCAAATCAATATAATAAAGACGACTTTTTATTTAAGCTTAAATGTGAACAAGCTTGTTTCGAAGTAAATACAGAGAAGGTTTTATATATCCATGCTTTTGTGTATGCTTTTTAAAGGCTGGATATAAATCAATATTCCAATCGAAAATCGTCTTCATTATCTTTATGTGATTGCCTATCACCGTATCTTTTATATAATTTTTATTAGGAGTATTTTTTTATTTGATTTTTTCAAAACTATATTTGAACGCTTTGAGAAATTGAGGTTATCATAAACTACAGTTTTTAAGTCAAATTCTGATTTTCTTGTTAGATAAAATTTATTATTAAACAAAACTAACTTTAAACCAGCGTAATTGAAACGATTTTATTCAGTATTTTTGTTTCAAAAGTTGGTAGCTCTATCAAATGAGTAAGATAACTAATTTTTTTGATTTTTTATAAATTTTGAGCACTACTTTTTTACTACATTTATACTTTTTTAATTTCTACAAACACTGTATTACGTTCGACTATCAGTGTTAGAAATCGATATTTTAATAATAATTTTTAAAAATTTTGAAAAACATAGCTTGATTTACTTAATTAAGAATATTATTAAAACATCTGATAGGACAACAAAAATATTTCTAAAATGTAAAAATACAGATTTATTAAATTTATTTATTTATTGTTGCATGTTGACAAATATACTCAATGTTTAATTTATTTTTATTTTTTATTTATTTACATATTTACATATTTATCTTAGTTGTGTATTTAGAAACATTCGTCGTCGTATGTATCAATATAATCAAGACGACTTTTGGTTTCAATTTTTGATTTCTACACAGCATGGTTACACGTAAACATGGAAGCAAAGATAAGTGGTCAATTAACAGCTTCTCTTTGATTACTTTTAAACTTGTACATTGAAATAACCTTGTTAGAAATCAAAACTTTTCTATATAAAAGTCGTCTTTATTGTATTGATATAAACGCCGGCTACTAAGATATTACTTTGTTGATACGAACTGAGTCGTTATGCCACTCTCCTAAAAAAAATATATATATTAAATTCCAACAAAAAAATGGAATGTTTTTATCTGTTCGTTTAAATTTACTTCAAACTTCAAAGGGTTTAAAATGTTTTAAAGTTTTAAACATCTGAAATTGTTTAATATTTTCAAATTTGCATTTAATAAAAAAATAAAGTTACGCAAAGGAATGAAGGGATTTGCCTTTCGGATTACCTAACTAATCAGAAAAAAAGCTATTTCATTGATCAACTATAAAGCTGATTGATGAAAAAATACAAATGAGGGATCAACAATACAGCTGATTGATCCAAAATACAGCGAAGGGATCAATTACACAACTGACTGATCAACTATGTAGACAATAATCAAATATACAGCTGATAAATGAATTACAGAGCTGATTAATCAATTGTACAGCTGAGAAATCAATTACACAGCTGAAAAATCAATTATATAGCTAATTAATCACTTGTACAGCTGATAAATGATAAATTGATTGAAACTTGATTGCTGAAATTGCAGAAGAAGATATTGATGGTGATCTGTGCTTCTGTGTGTGGTGTGCTGGGCTGCTATATTGCTGCAAGATATCTCGGCATTGTCTAATGTAAAAACCTGAACGCGACATTTGTAGAAAGTAGCTGCAGTCTTAGAGATCGGCGCGTTCGGCGTTTTTCATTTCGTTCGTTTATTCGATCGTTTAGTAAAAACAAAGCTCGGTTTTATCCAAAGTTTGTTCAATAAAATCTTACGTTCACTAAAAAACTTAATATCGGTTTTATAAGTTTGCTAAAAAAAATCGTTCGTTTAGTTATGGAAAAATTCGTTCCTTCAGCTCGTTTGAATGAATTTAAATCGCTTGTTTTTTTCGATAGTTTTTTATTTGTCCGTCGTTCGTTTTTTCTGAACGATGCCATCGTTTACAGAATATTACGTCCGTTCGTTAAAATTTCAAACGTTCACAAACAACAGTGCCCATCTCTAACTGCAGCATTGTTGAGCACGTTGTTCTGCAACTATTTCCATATTATCTAATGTAGTCACTAGTAGGAAGTTAAATTTAGGCGTTGAAATCCTTGTAACATCGTTGTCTAAATTCTATGAATTTTGAGTCTGTCACCAGCAAAAAAATTGTAAATGTCTCAGAAACAGTTCTGTTCTTGAATTCCTTCCCATTTAAACTTTTATAAAAAAATGTTTCAAGGATCTCTTTAAGTCTAAAACAGTAGTTATTAAAAATATTTTTTTTTTCTAAATTCTCTATTTTTTATAATTCTAAGTTTTAGTACAATGGTCGGCGTTTATGTTATGCAATTAAGACGACTTTTTTATTTAAGCGTTGATTTCTAATAATCTTTTGGTAGATTACAAAGTTTACAAAAAGAGTCTGTTAACTGACTGTTTGTTAGTGTGCTTCTATCCTTGTGCTGTTAAAAAGCTTGGAATATATCATTATTAAAATGCAAAGTCGTCTCTACTGTATTGATATATACGACGATGACGACTGTATGATATCAGTTCATCTTAGAAATTAGTAGTTTAGTAACATAGTTATTAGTCTTGCAAAGCTTGCAGTTAGAATTTAGGTTTTTAGGTCAGTATTGGCGCTACAAGAGGTTTTTTGGGAGGCGGGATTTAAACACAGGCGGGGGGGGGGGGGATTTGGTTAAAGTTGCCTCTCCTCCCACGATGGGGTTTTGTTGCACAGGAAGCCAATATCATCCGATATCTTCGATACTTGCACTAGTCACTCATGGAGTGGACCCAAAGATAATATATATATAGATATGCAGGCAGGTATAAATTTAGAGGTCTTGAGAAAATTTGCAAACAGCACCATCTCTGTCGTACGCATGGCATTTTATCCTCTGGATTGTTGCTAATTTATCACTTTGTTTATGCGTGATAACACTAAATGCGTACTATAGTATCAACAATGTATACTGTATAATGTATTGTACAAATTAATCAATGCAAATAAAACTGAGGTAGGAATTTGACTAGACAAAGTTTAAATGTGCAAGTTGTACTGAATGGCATACGTAAATTAACGCAATTTAAATAAAAATTATGACTATAAAAGTACATCGAGTCTAGGACAAATTACAACTGATCTGATCATAACATAAGCAAAACGCATACTGTATGTTTGTGTTACCTTGAAATTTAATTTTATTGGTCAAACAGGTCCAGATAGCAACACTTGAACTATACAGGATGCAATACGCGTACTGTATGTTTATATAACACAAATGCGTATTTCCTACAGATAGCAGCAAGGGGAGAAAGGAATATAGAAAGTAATCAATTTGCTATAGATGTCTCTCCTTGCACATTTTCTCAGAGGTTCAAAAATTAGTTGTCTGCTACAAGCAATTTAGGAAGGAGGTTTCTACCTGCCTGCATATCTATATATATATTATCTTTGAGTGGACCATTTCAACACAATGTTAAACATAAAAAGCAATTTCCATTTTCCGATATTTATATATGTATAAAATCAAATTAAAATTTTATGTCTGGAGTAAATATTAATTAATGAGTTAAAAGGAAGACGACATTCAAGAGTAAATGACCTTTTTTGCCTTTACCCCCTTTAAAATACATTTAAGAATTAAATGCGTAATTAATATATGTCAACTAATAATTTTTAATGGTTTAACATTACTTTTTATGTCAACATTGTATTAAAATGATTAAAACTTAAGGATCGAGTCCGCCCCATGCAAAAAACTGCATGGAATAAAAAATATTTATATTTTTCATTTATAAAAAAATCGATTAGTTCTTCATTTTTTGTTTGAACATGAATTCAGGTTAACTTATAAATTTTTATAAATTTTTTGACTTTTGTTTTGATACTTATATTGCAATTTACATTAAACAAAAATTTTGGAAAAAATAATCTGTAATTATTTTGTTATTTTTATACAGATAAACCCTAATAATCTATACATCGAAAGAATTTATCAAATGTCGTCTTGACAATTTTTCTATCGGTTTTATACTCTTTTACTTAAATCTCAGTATATTCGAAAATAAATAAATAGCCATGGAAATGCGCGAATAGTGTTAAAGAGTTCCATATAATCATTTAATTAAAAAACTTAATATCTCCAACATTCCATTATCAGAAAGTAAAGATCATACGACATTTAATGAATTCTTTCGATGTATGGCTTATTTCGGGTTAAACTGTATGTATAGTATGTTCAATCTTCACAACGCCCCCAGGATACTCTTTAAATTTTAATCTAAATTTATCTCCCGGCCCCCTGGGAGTTTGTGTTGAAAGGATTAACCAAATACAGGTTTTGTCTTTTCTGTTCTTGGTTCTAAACTTAATCTAGAGAGGGTGTCCCTCCCGGTAACCGCCAAAAAAGTTATTCGAAAAAGTTTCCGGAAAAAAGTCCTAATATTTCGCACTGAGAAAGCCCTGTGGAAAAAGTCCTTTTTTTTAAAAGAAAAACGTCCCCGGAAAACAAGTCCTATTATAGAAGAAACTGCATGAAACAAAGGATGTTTACAACCATGCAAAAAAGAGGGGTAATTGATATAAAACAACACACATGGCTATATTTGAAGTACAGATGCGTAAAAAAGTCTTTTTTTATGAAAACGTTTTTATAGACTTGATCTCATTTTCACAAAATTAAGGACTTTTTTCTTCGGATATATTTTCATGAGAACTTTATTTCCTGTGATCTTATTTCCCAAGACTTTATTGACAGCCCCCATTTTTTGGAAAAAAGTCCCAGAAATCTGGTGACATTTTTTCCGAGGACTTTAGAAAATTCAGACTTTTTTTCTAAAGTTTTTATTTCCAGGTTTTTTTTCAGAAACTTTTTACCCGGGACTTTCTTACATAGATTCTCCCTCCTTCGTTCCGCCAAACGTGATAAGTGAGAGACGATTTTAAGATTGTCTTTATGTATATATATATCCTAATAAGCATGAAAAGCTTGAACGAGGTACCACAAAAAAAACCTTTTTTTATAAAAATTTTGTCAGTAGCTAGCTAGCATAGATGCAAGACTATTTTTAAGTATTGTTTTAATTTTAAAGTGTTATCGTAGAGTAGAGAAGTTGTAAATACTTATTATTAAGCTATTTTAAACTACAGTTCCTAGGAGAAATGTAAACAAAGCTCTGTCTGAGGAGGGTGGGAGTGCAGAGCCATCATGAGCCCTGCAATCAAGATCAAAATTACCTCTGGAGCCTCCTGATCGCAGAAGCTATAATATAATATAAAATATCCACCACAAGCCTTTTTATAATATAATATATAATATAATATAAAATATCCACCACAAGCCTTTTTTCCCAAAAATCTCAACATGTTAAAAATGTCTTATTAATACATAAACGATTTACATTTAAAAGTCTACTTTAACTTAAATCAATGCCTTGAATTTGGGTTTTTTACGCTTACAAAAAGCACATATTATTCCACAAAAATGTCTTTTATTGGAGGTCAGAATGCATGACATGGAGACAAAATTGCAAAGGCTTGAAGAATTATGCGAGAGGCACGGAGATGGTTTCAAGGAGCTTGGAGGTTCAGGTGGTTCTGCCACCCTCCCTCGTCTGTCGCAAAGAGGCTTAACAAGTTTTGATATCAAAGTATTTCCCCTATTTCATAGCATTAGAGGAAATAGATTTTAAAAATTTAAATGAAAAGGTAGAACTGATCATTTTGGAAAAAAAACTTAAAGGGAGTGTTCGCAAAAAATGAAAGGGGGTATAGGCTTAATGCGATAAAAAGCGCTTTTGATCGCTAATAATCTTACATCTATCTGTTGCGTCTATAAGGAGAAAATTGTTAAAAACGACTCACACCGAAGAACGCAGCGTTCATACAAATTCGGAAAGATGCAACATTTAACTCGGATCGTAAACAAATCAATTTAATTCCAAACAAATCATTCAGATATTACAAACAGTAGTCATCGATTATTTGGCGACGCATTGGTATATAGTTAATATTTCATAATATTTTGGATTTTCCTGGAAAATATGAAAATGTCGTCTTCATTATCAAAAATCCTCGAAACAGGAATAAATGTTTTCAAAAGTAACTATCAGATCATGAAAAATACAAAATATTATGAAATATCATAGCCTATATCCTCTTTCATTTTTCGCATACACTCCCTTTAGTGAACTATTGATAAAATAGTCGTTTTGTACTAATTTAAAATTATCTCTTATTGTTTATATATTTGAATCGCATTACATCATGCATGGTATGAAAATGCAACAAGTTTAAACACAGAAATATATCTATATTTATTATATAGCATATAACATATCTATCTTCCATATATATATACTTTGCTTGTCTGTTAGTATCCAATAAACGTCAAAACGGCTCAACCGATTGGGCCCAATTTTTTTGTGGGACCTCACGTGATCCTTTAGGCAAGGTTTATGGATGACCGGGTACGTTTACAAATGAAATAGCATAATATATCTATCTACATATATACTTTGCTTTTCTGTTTCTTTGTATCCAATAAACATAAAAACGGCAGAACCGATTGGGCCCAAATTTTGTGAAACCTCTTATGAACTCAGGGAAGGTTTTTGTATGATAAAAATTTCAAAAATTTGTGTCTAAAACATTTCTTTTTGGAAAATTTAGAAAATGCGCCGAAAAATATTTTGAAATCCGCAAAGCTTTAATTGTTTGGTTTTATACTGTACTTTGCCATAATTTATTTATTCTAGTTTTCAAATATTTAGTTTTATATTTAGAAAATTTCAAATAGATTCTAGTACAATAGACGGCAGCGTAGGATTGTTGACTTAAATCCATGTCATATGGGACATTTCCGATTCACAACAGTACACGTTAAACTATTGTCAGAAATTAAAAAATTGCATTTCCTCGATTTTTATCAGAAAATTTATATTTGTCGATTGTGGCTTCCATTAAAATGATAATTATTCATGCAGAAGAGACAAAGAAAGAAGCCAGTCAGTATTTATTACTTTTTCAGAGAGAAAACGACAATATCCCTTCTTATTGTTGCTCTCTCTCATAGTTTTTAAGGGCAAAGGTGTGGATGGGGCATGCCCCTTCTTTAAATGGGAATTACGTGAACTACGTTAACAGTCTCTATAAATGGGAGGTCACTTGAACTACATGTACAGTCTCTTTAAATGGGAGGTCACTTGAACTACGTCAGCAGTCTCTTTAAATGGGAGGTCACTTGAACTACGTCAGTAGTCTCTTTAAATGGGAGATCACTTGAACTACGTCAGCAGTCTCTTTAAAAAGTCTCGGGACAGTAAGCGTAAATTCAAGTGACCCTCCATCTATCTTCCATATTTTTGATCAGATCAAGGTTTCAAGGGTACTGTTGTAAATCGTATACTACAATCGTTGTATGGAGGGTCACTTGAAATTACGCTTACAGTCCCTTTAAGGTATAATTGACATGCACATTTTTAATATTAATATGATTTAGAAAAAGCTGATGATGCTTGGCTGTTTAACCATTGTTGGTGTAATAGTTATATCTACACTGGGAAGCTATCTAAATATGTAAGTATTCAAAAAATTAATTTAAAATGAAAACGCATTCCCAACGTTTTTTTTCTGAAACATGTATGTATTGCAATTTTGTTTGAAACACAGTAACTTAATAAAAAGCAATTTTGTAATTTTGTAATGTCTGATAATCACTTTTTTGAAATTTGCTTTCTGGCTTATCTTAAGGAGTTTTAAAAATCCATAGCAAAATTGTTAGTTTTAAAAATGAATAAAGTTTTTGTCCAAAAAATTATTTTTAACTTTTATTTTTCTTTAGGTGGTAAACTGTGGCTACGTTTAGACTTCTCATAATTTCAAGCTTAGTACTTTCCCTGCTAACCAAGTTACGTAACTTACGTACAGAGAACGTAGTTTGACGTATTTGGTAAAAAAGTGAATTACAAAAATTTCCAGCCAATAAGTCAAAAATATTGATAGTGTTTGGAAAACTAACAAAAGTGGTATCTGGGACTGAAAGAAAAGAATCTTGTGAAGTCATTGAACTGTGTTGAGTTTGTTCAACCATGTATCTATAATGGCTAGTTCAAATATTTAAATTTGAACTATTGTAGTGACTAAGACCAACTAGACACAATTTTTGCTGAGTTATATTTCAACCAATGAGATTGATGAAAAGATATTTGCAGCGCTCTGATTGGTTGGAATTGTTGAAGTATAAGGGTTGTTCAAAATTTTGAACTTAGAATCATGTCCCAGATAAGTCCTTCTTTAACAATAAATTGATCAAAACTATTTGTTCAATTTCTTTGCTTGTTTATTCCGCATGAGAATTTTGTATGATAGGGAATCTTTCATTACTATTATGAACGCTTTTTCTTTACATAACACAAATATAACATACAACATTTAAAAGCAGTTTTGATTGATTTATTGTTTAACAATGGTCTTCCACACCTTTTCATTTTTATGCGTGGTCCAAAGATGTGTTAATATACCTATAACAAATTCTGTGTTATATGTCTGATCCTATTAAGTTTTTACAACATAAGATTTATCTAAAAGCAGGTTAGAACTTAAAGTTAAGTTATATTTCAGTGGTAGAGACAAACTATGCGTGTTTTAAAGTGTCAGTGAATAGGGCTGGGTAATGTTTCAGCCTTGAGCTGGGTAGTTTTTGGAAATGGCATCAACAAACAGAGAACAAATACTGTTATTGTTTGAATTAAATTGAAAAAAACTAGAACAAGCCAAGCCCTACATGTAAACTAGTGCTTTATCAGACCAAAAATAGTCTTCTTTATTATGTCCTAATAGTAATACAGAAAGTTAAAAATTTACAGTAAGAACCTAATAATTTAAGAAAGGACTGACAACTTTCAGACTCAAGTTATGACTTTAAAAAGTTCAATGAACGTAAGACACAGCGTTGTTCAGTGAAATTAGACTCATTTCATTGAGAAAATTAGATGCTATTAAAGCTATATACTTTGTAACAAGTTCAAATACACTTAATTATCACTTTAATGTTGTCTTCCTCTTCCACTGTTTAATGGTTATCACTATAGTCTACAAAAAAATTCTTTTAACATAAATTTGAAATATAAAACTTGACTTGTAAAAATCTAGTGTGAATATAATTGTGCATCATTTTTCCTTTAAAATACCAAATATTTGAGATTGACAAATGACATCAACGTGTTTAAATCTTCTGATACTCATAAAGTTTTTAACAAACTAGTTTGTTGGGATCCAATCCAATTTTGTATGCTTATTAAAGAAAGTTTGAATCCCAATAGATTAGTTTAAATCCCAATATATTGGATTAGATCCCAACAGATTAGTTTGAATCCCAATAAATTGGATTGGATTCAAACTAGTCTGTTGGGATCCAATCCAATCTATTGGGATTTAAGCTAGTCTGTTTGGATCCAATCCAATTTATTGGGATTCAAACTAATCTGTTGGGATCTAATCCAATATATTGGGATTTAAACTAATCTATTGGGATTCAAACTAATCTGTTGGGATCTAATCCAATATATTGGGATTTAAACTAATCTATTGGGATTCAAACTTTCTTTAATAAGCATACAGAGAAGGGAAAGTAAAAAATACATTTTCTTTCCTTGCCAATTTTTTAAAACTAGCTGATGGTTATTTCAATTGACTTTATTTTTAATAAACAAGTTAAGACATTCAGGAAGCGAAAATGATTTGTTTGAGAAACAAATGAACTTTTGAATTAAACCGATTTGAATATTAAATCGATTCATTGATTAAATCAATGGGTTTTGGGATTTTAGGTATGAATTTTAATTGTAAAAATATTATTGCTTTAATTTCTGCTTAATCCTCTTTTTTGGATATCCCAGCTGGGTTCTAACCAATAAGAGCTCTTTCTTTAGTAGCAGCAAAAATTACCGGTTTCTGATTGGCTGTTTAGTTTCTGTAAACAACTCTCTGATTGGTTGAATTTTAAACTCTTTCCTTATATCAAATAATAAATAAATTAATCAGCAGAATAAGCATTGATCTTGATATCCGTAATACAGGAGTTTTCAATTCTCAGGCCAGTTTTGCCTTTCTTATGAGTCAAGACTTGTTCTTCTGATCTTACCGATTAGAGATAAGAGAAAAAGATTAATCTATTTGAACTGATTTAAGTTAGTTCAGTTAATTCAAAAGTTGCAAATTTCAATATCAACTAGATAGACAAATAAATGCTATAACGAATCTGAAATTTAATAATTTGTTAAAATATTTGAAAAATATTCTAACATATTTATTGTTTCTCATTATCATGATTTTTGTATTTCACAGATTTGTATGTAAATCTAATTCTTTACAAATATATGTATTCGTTAGTATAAGTTTTTTATCTATGCAATGTTTTATGGTTAATGTTTGCATTCACAAATAATTTTTATTAAATGCACTGTAGTTGGTATCAGTATTATGTCAACATTTCTCTCAGATGTATCTTTTTTTTGTATAAGATTCATTGGTAGGCGTTTATACCAGTACACTGCTGACTAACCTTTTCTGTTTCTAACAAGTTTATATTTTGCAGAGACAAATTGTCATGAATGTAGTGATGCAAATGCTTACCACTATTTGTAAACAAAATTTAGGAAAATGTAAAAAAAAGATATTTAAAAATGACATTTATTATCATGAAAATTTTCTGATGAGTATAATATTAATCAATGAAAATTCTGTAATTGAGTAATTCTATCTACTTGTTAACTTTCTGACTGTACCCTGCCAATGACCAGAAATGTCTTAAATATTTGTACTCCACAGTGTTAAAGAAACCTTTACATTTTGTTCTTAATATCCAACCTACCAAAACCATTAAAATTTTGATCAGTTTGTTCAAAATTTAAACCGAACACCAGTCTAACACATTTTATATATACCTAAGATGCTTCGAAAAGTTTGATATTAAGAAAATAATGTTTTGATTTTTTTTCTGACCAGTGCGTGCATATTGTGCTAATTTACTTTTCAGTGTTGCCAAAGCATAATTCCTAATTGCTGTCCAACAACAGAGTGAAGAATTAAGATCATTAATTTAACCAAACATATCCTCGCTTGTACTGTACCGTACCGTACCGTACCGTACCGTACCGTACCGTACCGTACCGTACCGTACCGTACCGTACCGTACCGTACCGTACCGTACCGTACCGTACCGTACCGTACCGTACCGTACCGTACCGTACCGTACCGTACCGTACCGTACCGTACCGTACCGTACCGTACCGTACCGTACCGTACCGTACCGTACCGTACCGTACCGTACCGTACCGTACCGTANGTACTGTACTGTACTGTACTGTACTGTACTGTACTGTACTGTACATATCATTTTTATGCATCAACATTTTGTGCTTTTACAAATCTTGTTAGTTACTTGTAGCAACTGTTTTATTATTTTGTAACAAGCAATTATTATAAATACGCTGCAGGAGATAAAAAATCTAATTTTGTAATCATCTTAAGAAAATTTTTAGATTTATAGCTTTCTAATCAAAGCTATTGAAATTATTAACCTATACAAATTTCCTAAAAAACTGGGGACTTACTTTGATGATCCCAGACAAAGGGAAGAAAATAAAAACTTTACCACTCACAAAGTACATTCGAATTTCCGAGCCGGGTCAACCTTTCCGGTCCCAGTTTGTACTGTACCTAGCTGTATGGACAGGACTAGCCGGTGCAACAAGGTTGACGCGGTCAGACTTTATGCTTCATAGAGGGGCAGAGGTGCATGTTACGTCCCACTCAACTGTTATCTCAACTAGGCAGCTGTAATAATTGCTAAAAATCACATGTTTTGTTTAAACAAGAATCAATGTATGTAAACATAATAAACTGTAAGACGATTATTATTTTATTAGATTTAAGAGTCATTGTACATTGTACATTGTACATACCGTTATAATCATATATGTACACTGTACATAATGTTATAACTATATATGTACACTGTATATACCGTTATAACCAGATATGTACAGATTTCTCTGTGTATGCACTTTATTCCTTTATTACCTCTATTACAAATCTAGAGAGTATGCATTTTAAATAATGGTTGCATTTGACCTTTCTCCGTTTCGCTCGTTCATCGTCATGAACCGTTCGGATAGTTTTTTTTAATAGTTCAATAAAAGTTGACGTCGTTTGTTCTCAAAATTATAGTTCATTTTCCAAATATTTCGTTTGTTTTCTCACTTAACGATTGTTCGTTAAGATCGTTCATTCAGTAAAATTTTTCGTTCAAAAGTTTGTATGAAAAAATCGTTAGGTTTTAAAAACAGTTGTTCTTTAATTTCTCTGAACAGTTCAAGTTGTTCGGACATCTTTCGAAATCCCATTAAAGAATTTTCTCAAAAATTTAGTTTAAACAAAATCCCATATTCATACGCACTATGCAGCCTTAATTTTTCTAACTATAGAGTGGTATAATCAGAACACTGTTCAGACTAACAGTTCAATAAGCATACGATACAGTGCAGTGAAAATAGACCCATTTTACTTAAATATTGATTAAGTAAGTGTCCATAAAACTATTTGCTTGTAACAACCGAAATTACACTTAAGTATTGCTATAAAGTTGTCACGGGCTGCCGTAGTACAATTGAATTTCCGAGCCGGGTCAATCTTTTCGGTCCCAGTTTGTACTGTATCGCCCGGAAATTGGGTAAATAAAGCAGGCACTCAATAGGACTAGCCGATGCAACAAGATTGACACGGTCAGACTTTAGGTTTAATTTACTTTTACTAAAGGGTCAGAGGTGCGTGTTGTCTAGTTTTCTAGTTTTCACTGTATTACTGTCAAATAAACACCTGTGAACCACTTTATCTTTAATTTTGTTTAAATTTTAATCTTTTAAATTCTTCATTTACACAAAGAAAATGAATCATGTTGAGTATCAAAATGACTCTCAGAAGAGACACTCTTTACTTATCGAAATTGTTAAACTCATTTGAGATATTTTAATTTTAAAAGTCTATAATTTTTATTTGATCTAACCTTTGATTCACTTAACAGAGGTTAAGGCTAAACCAAGAATGTAAGGCAAGGAAAGTCAATTGCGGTTGTGTATACTCTGTGTACATATTGAAACCAGTTCTCTTTGGGCGGAATTTGTAAACAATAATAGATTCATCAGTGTTCGTTTAGTATCTGAGGAGGTTAAAAGCATTAAATTTTGATTATTTTGATAATTCAGATAATAGTTTCCTATGACCAGAATATTTCATTGATTTTTTATGTGAAAGATGGATCCCATGTCAGGCTTCGACATCCGTCTTGTGTTTACATTAGCGCCCAGAGACAGTACACTGCAGTACTAAAGATGTGTACACTTCTGAAATGACTTTCCTTGCCTTACATCCTTGGGCTAAACTACTTATGACGAAAAAAAAACTTTTTTGGGAAATTAAAAATTAAAATTCCAAAATCTTTGTTTTTAATATTATAATTCTTTTTAATTGGAGACCTATTGTAAGGAACAATAAAAAACTTTTAAACGGTTAGGTTTTATGTCTGCACGTTCATAGCCAATTTTTTCAGAACATAATTTTATAACCGTTTATTATTTAAGGGCCTTCAACAATTTAATGTGTAGACTGTCCTGTTCTTGTACCCTACCCTATAAATACATTTTTTTTTAACAAAACATCAAATTTACATTAATCAAAATTTTAACATCATGTGTCAAAAAAAAGATAAGAGCTCGTAAGATTAAATGTTAAAGTAAATTCCGTACAGTCGTCTTTGAAAAGTCTCATCCTTTGAGGGTAACCCTGCATATTATAGATTCGTCATCCCTACTTTAGCAACCCTGTACAGTACAATTTTTTCATCCTTACTTTAACAACCCTGAACAGTTCAGATCTGTCATTCCTACTTTAACAACCCTGAACTGTACAGTTTTTTCATCCCTACTTTAACAACCCTGAACAGTACAGTTTTTCATCCCTACTTTAATAACCATTTACAGTACAATTTTTTCCCTACTTTAACAACCCTGAACAGTTCAGATCTTTCATTCCTACTTTAGCAACCCTGAACAGTACAGCTTTTTCCCTACTTTAGCAACCCAGAACAGTACAGTTTTTTCATCCCTACTTTAATAACCCTGTACAGTTGTTTCGTCACCCTGGACGACTATAATCGAGAAACCTTAAGGATACTACTATCCGATCATTCAATCAATAGAACTACGTTGAGCTCATCTTAGTAGAGGAGAATAGAACAGAAACTGAACTAACGAAGACAGAATTCTATGC